GATGGTGGAACATCTTTCTACATCTGATGGTGGAACATCTTTCTACATCTGATGGTGGAACATCTTTCTACATGATGGTGGAACATCTTTCTACTTGATGGTGGAACATTCTGCAAAGAAAAACGCTGCAAAAACCAAAAACACAACCAAAACCCCTGCAGCGCGTTGAGCTCTCCATACGTGTACTTTTATCCCAGAGGAAGAAACTCTAAAGTCTTTAGTTCGCCTGCATGTTGCGTCTGATTTAAGAAGGACATTCGGAGCACATAAACATGCTGCGTTCTGTTTTGTTTTTCTGCATGCAGGAGAAGAGTCCGTGCAGCAGCCCAGTTCCTTCGTCGGCTGAAAACAGCTTCAGAGGTCAGAGGTCGCCGCTGTCGCCTCGCTTCCCTCTGGTGGGTCCAACAAACTGCTTTCTGCTGCAGGTTTATAAAGGCTGCAGCTCAGAGTCGTAGCTCTGAAACACCAACCAAACACTCATCAGGTCCGGTTTATTCACGCAGCACACTTAAAAACAACCAAAGTGCTCCACATGTAGCTGGCAGCAGTGCCTACACTTCTTTGTATTTTTTTATTGTTATATCTTAAATTTTGATCCTCCAGCTCGTCATCCTGTTCTGTTCAAACTGTGGAACAGTCGGCAGTAAATAACGACAAACCGGTCGCGTTACCATATTTCTGCTTATAATTGAATATTTCGTGGATTTTCTGCTTCATAAACGCACCAACGAATGTAACGGGAAGAGAGGACGCGGCAGACAGAGAATGAAACCGATAGACGTCACAGCTACATGTGGAAGAATTCAGAAAGCAAACGATCGGATCTGATGGAGAGAAATGATGGCCGACGCTGAACGACACGGCGCTTCATTGAAACGCACCAAAGTGTCACAGATCAGACTGAGGCTTCATGTCAGCGGGTGGACGGAGCGCAGAGATGTTCGAGCCTTTACTTTATATTCTGTGTTTTTGAGTCCGTTCCCTCTTTGTTCTGACTTCCTCCTCCTCTGTGGCCTCATGAGTGTTTAACTTTTCAGTTATTATTATTCACTTTAATGCTACTTGTCGTTCTGTCGTGTGTTTTTTCAGCCAGTGATGTTGTGACGGCGCAGTTTGTTTTAAAAGAGGTTTCAGTCAAACTGGAGCGCTTTAATCTCCAGATGTCCTGCTCTAATGGGAGGATCCTGGAGAAGCTTTGAGTCGTACACACTCTCCAGACGTCCTCTCCTCAAAGCTGACGTTAAATCTTTCTCTACACACCGATTCAAACATCTACATGCTTCTGAACTTTCTGTCGTGCAGATTCTCATCCAGCAGGGGTGTCACAAAGCTTCATTTCTTCTCTAACATTGCAGACTCTTGTCACTAGAAACAGATTTGAAAGTGGACATTTTGAGCAACAGCAGCTGATTGACTCGTTAACAATTACTCTCATCGTCTCTCCATCTTGTCGTGATTAATTATTTGTCGAGTGGCCTTTAAAACACGGGAAAAGAGTCGAAGACCTCCCAAATATTAACATTTCTATCACTTAAAAGCAAGAAAAACAAGATAAAAATGCATCTGAGGACAAGGAACCATCACATTTTGGAGACATTTTTTTGCAGCTTACAGTCAAACTGCAGCTTTGAACTCTGAAGACGTGGAAGAATCCTCCTCAAACAATCCCTTCTTCAACAAAAGCTCATTTTTCTGGAGATTTTAGCGCTCCAGTTTGACTGAAACCTCTTTTAAAACAAACGCCGCCGTCACCAACACCACTGGCTGAAAAAACACACAACAGAACGACAAGTAGCATTAAAGTGAACAATAATAACTGAAAAGTTAAACACCCATAAGGCAGCAGAGGAGGAGGAAGTCAGAACAAAGAGGGAACGGACTCAAAAACGCAGAATATAAATTAAAGGCTCTAACATCTCTGCACTACGTCCACCCGCTGACATGAAGCCTCAGTCTGATCTGTAAAAGTCTGAAACATCCAGAGGAGCCTCAAGTGGAACCTAAAAGTCCAGTTGAGGAGCATCAGCGGCTGGATGAGGAGAGAAACCGACTGACCTGCTGCATGTTGCTGTTTCCTGCAGAGCGAGTTCAGCCATCTGGACGGACCGGTCCGACAGAGGAGGCAGGAGATGGAGGAGAGCAGCAGCTCCGACTCCCCAGAGTACGACAAGATAGCAGGTAAGCCGGCAGCTGGAAGGAAAAGATGGAATCCATCAGCCGGACAAGACGCACCATCCAGAACCCGGAGCGGGATTCTGGTTTAGGTGATTTTCTGGTTTTTAATCTCCTGCAGAGTTCCCCGTTCCTCCGTTCCTGGATGTTTTAAAGCACCCGGACGGTTCGACGCCTCCTCAACATCCGGAACACAAAGTGAAGAACCAGCAGCATCAGAACCAGCAGCATCAGAACCAGCATCAGAACCAGCAGAGCTCCGACAACAAGCAGCACGCCGGTAAAATGAGTTTATTCTGTCTTCTCAACGAGCAGATGTTTAGTTTATTTAACGAAGCAGAGTTCTATCTTCACACCGTGAATATTATCAGAGTTTCAGGCCCTCCAAGGTCCAGATTTATCACTTTTTGCACCATTTCTGAGCCTCAGAGCTTCATCAGTGCAGCAGACAGACACATGATGGATCCGTTTTCTGTTGTGTTTATCCACAGTGGGCCAAGTTTTCTCATAAGCTTCCTAAAATGATTCAGAAAAATAAAACCGTTCTAAAATGTGACCCAAAAAAAGTCAAATTTGGGTCAAAAATGGTTGAAAATGACACAAAACTGTGTAAAATGATTCAGAACATGAAGCAAAAGTGACAAACGTCACACAACAGAGACTAAAGCCGTCCCAAAGACACACAACACTTCCCACTAAACAACAAAAACAACACAAAACAAGAAACACACAAAATGCTGAATCTTGAAAAAATAAATAAACACAAAACAAGACAAATGAGACACGAAACTCTGTTAATAATTATAGTTGCAGCAGATGGACGTCTGAGTCAAATATCAGCTTCAGTGACACAATAATCATAATAATAATAAACAAGCTTTAAGTAGCGTTAATGTGCAGAGTTGTAGACAAATATTTTAAAAACTATTTAGTTTTTTTAAATCCAGTTTGACTTCAGCTCTGTAGAATGATTCTTGTTGTTTTAATTCCAGACTCGGAGGTGATGCTGGACAGCAGGACGCTGAAGCCGCTTTCTCTCAACACGCTGCTGCTCGTCTACATGTTCCTGTTCGTAACGTTCCTCCAACGTTCTCCAATTTATTCAACGCTTCTGTGACTCATTTTTGTTCAGCAGATTATTTAAAATACATATTTATAATTTCTCAGCTCAATCCTGCGTTTATTTATTGGTAAATGTATTTTCCCACTAATTTGTTCACTCTCTCATTGACTGGTGTCATAAATCCAGCGGTTTCTCTTTCATTTCCTCCACTGCAGCTGTTTGTTCATCTTAACTCTCCACCTCGGCTGTTTCTTTTCTCTCCAGAGTCTGCGTCCTGGTTCTGTCGTCGTGCTACTTGGCCTTTAAAATCGTCTCTCTGGAGCAGAGGCTGACGACGCTCGGCTCCGTCGCCGAGTTCGTTCACCCGGAGTGAGTCCACAAACACAGAAACATCAGCTTTAAACATTTATTCTGGAGCTGAAGAATTAGAAGAACTCACATTAAAGCTGGATGATATTGGAGAAAAAATTACATTTCTTTTTCCTGCGATGTGACTATAAACTATAGGAATTTTAAACTTAAATAACTTTGTTTAGAACAAATTCCTGATTTATCTGCTCAGAAAACAACATTTAAAAAGCAGTTTTGGAGCATTTCTGGCTATTATACCATTATATTATTATTATACTATTTTTTTCCAAACAACTGAAGCTAATCTAAAGTTTCCACTGATGCCTGTTAGTCTATTAATCTGGAATTTACTTCATTAAAATAGTTTTGCATTTTAGCTGAACGTATTTTGTTAATATCCTGTTGACATTTTTATTTCTTTAACTTAGTTTAAGGACTTTTTTTTTTTTGCCCACCCCACAGTGAATCAGTGTGACGGTAAACGTACGACTCTGTTCTGCTGTTTGAGTCTCGTGTTGTGGATTTTTACTGAGTCTTTGCGTCGTTTGGTTTTTGACAGGAACGACTTCCTGGGCGGCAGCTCCGCCGTGAACACGGAGCTGTTCTCTGAGCTGCTGACCGTCAACCTGATAAAGCTGGAAAAGGTTTGTTCGTCTCCTACGGGTGGAATAATAACTCCGATTCGCCTGAAATGTTTTACAGCGTAAAATAACCGCGTTTATAAAGATATTTGTGTAATTTTAGCTTCATGTGTTAAATTCTTGGCGAGCTAATTTATTTAAAATCTGCCCGTCGACCCACTTCCAGCAGGTTGAAATTCGAGGCTGTTTGAAGAACATCTCAGGAACCATTAAGGATAAAAACCTGAAACGTCCGCTGTTGTTTGTCATCACGTCACTATTTCAGAAGCTGTAATATCAGACAAGTCGATCAAATAATATCTGATTATGGCTGAGTTGAAACATGACAACAAAAAAAGTGAAGCCATCGTGAAAAGCTCCATCTTTGGGCACAAAGTTCAACAAAAATACATCATTTCAATGTTTGAGACCAAGTATTATAAAGTATTCTATATGTTTGGTTTTCTATGACTGTGACATGCAGCTAAATGTGGTTCAGAAAATACCACGTCTGTGAAGATTCTCCATCCCCCAGGTCCTGGTTGTTCTGGTAGTTTAATCGTAGCAGCTAGACCTGCTTTAGTTCCACCTTCATCCAAAAGGCTTCATCAGGTCTGACTGACTAGTTGGGAGTTCCACATACTGATATCCTGAAGGAGACATTAACACCTGAGCTTTGGTTTCGATTGGGGGTTTGTTGCTCCTCCCCCTCGTTATGTGGGTCATTACTGCCACAAAGGGGTTCATTAGGGTCTGTTGTGGCTCGGTGTGGATGTGGGTTCATCTTTCTGGGGGGAGATCTTCAGACTGAACTGTAAACAGGTGATGCCTCAGACCTCCACCTCTGTTGAGGGATGGTCTCTCCAGTTTGACTTAGATGGTTTCTTTCACTCCTCTCTCAAACCATCTGTCCTCCCGGGTCAACATCTGTACGTTGTCATCTTCCAATGAGTGTCCTTTGTCCTTAGGATGCAGGTGGATGCTGAGTCTTGTCCTGAGGAGCTTCTGTGCTGAGACATGCGTTTGTGGATCAGTTGTTTAGTCTCCCTGATGTCCAGGTCTGGCCATTCCTGGCTGAACTGGACTGCCTCCACCACGTTGCTCTGTTTGCGTCTCGGTGTCTTGTCCTTAGGGTGGACCAGCTTCTGTCTCAGGGTGTTGGTGGACTTCACTGGAATGTTGTGTTTGTTAAAAGTCCTCCTGAGCTTCTCAGAAGCTCCTTCACCACAGGGGATGACGATGTTGTTTCATTTCTTGGTCTTTTCTTCTCTGTCTCCTCTGGGTTTTGTCGAGGATTTGATGAAAGACCAGCTTGGGTATCCACAGGTGTTGAGCGCTGTCTTGATGTGCTTCTGTTCCTCCTCCTTTCCTGCTGTCCTGGTTGGCAGTCCAGTTGCTACGATTAATCTATGAGAATGCCGCTAGCTGACTCCTGCGTTACCAGTTGTTCTGTTAATACGAGCTCAGAGATGGGACGTTTTATGACGGCTTCAGTTTTTCCTCATGTTTCAACTCACCATTGATCAGAGGTTATTTCATCAGCTTGTCCGGAGTCTGAATCAGAGACGTGATGAGAAATAACAGCGGCAACGTCAGGATTTTATCCTTAATAGTTCCTGAGATGTTGTTGTTGAAACAGCCTCAAATTCAACGTGCTAACAGTGGGTCGACGGGCAGAGTTTAAGGTTTAAAAAAAGGTTTCAATCAAATCAGAGACGGTTGGGCAGACGGAACCTGATGATATTTACAATCCATATTAACATTAACAGGAGCTGGTTTCAAACTGAACTTCCAGCGAGTTTCAAAACATCTAAAAGTTTAACTTTTGGGGGATAATCGTAGAAAAAAAACAGAAACCAGCTGGAGAAATATGAAGTGGATCACAGCAACACATTTAACTGCCAAAATATGCAAAAAAAAAATAATAAAAAAAGAAGAGGAATAACTTTTTTTTTTTTAAAGCCGGATGCTCTGACGTGCAGGTTTCTTTCACTGCAATCAAAGTGAGCTTTTTGCAAACTGAATTCCTACAAACTGCAGAATGGTTTCCCGACAGCAGCGAGGCTCCGGCGAGCGAAGCGTAACCGGACGCTGGTCGGCGGTAATCAAACATTTATAGACAGCGATCTGCTGGCGGCTGTAAGAGGAGCTTCTCTCTCATCCGTCAGGCCGTCGGAGCTGCGTTGACATTTCAGGCGTCCGGTTTCTGCACGGAAATGGAAATAAACTGCAAAAAAAAGCTCAAAACTCCAGCCGCTGATTCCACCGGTTGATATTAACCGAAAACAGGAGCGAGATTAGCACAAAGAAGAAGCATGAATACATTAACTAAGCAAAATGAAACAAAGCCACTGAGCTGATTTAAGGAGGATGCAGGAGATTTTTGCTGCAGAAGGAGACACGAGCTGGTGCACAAAAATTCACCAGGATGCTGGACGTTGAAATGGGACAATGTGTCCTCTCCAAGTTCAATCAGCCTACAAACACAAGCTGCCTTCATATGGGACTTTTTATTGGCTTAAAGTCGTCTTCTGAGTTGTTAAAGTGTCAAACCGGTCGATCTGAATGAGCCGAACTTGAGGAAACAAGTTTAAAACATTCAGTTGAATGAACCAGCCTCCAGAGTTTCGGCGGTTTGCATCCTGGGAAGTCTGCTACGTCGTTTCTCATAAACTTCATTTAATACGTCGAGCCAACTCTCAGCTGTTCCTTCATTTTAAGTCAAAATGCCTCAAAACACAAGAACTCAAGTTTGTAGGCTCTGAAGTGGCCTGAGAGTAAAAATGAGACATTTTAATGAAATGAACTAAATTCAGGTATTTACATGAAGTAAACTCGAAAGGACGAGTCGATTGAACTCAATTCCTTAACAAATGTTTATTATTGTTATATTTGACGTCTATATTTAGGATTCAACTCAGATCTGTGTGGAACTTTGAGAAATTCATCACATCTGGAATTCTTTTTTGTATCTTTAGCAGATTTAAATGACCAGCAGATAAAAATGTATAATAAAAAACAGCAACAACTTTCAATCCAGGATGGTGTTTAGGCCTCAGACAGTTTCTGTAAGTTCTGCACAGACTTTGGTGAAGCGTTCTTTGACTTCCCATACTGGCTACACACCAAATTCTTTGGCCTGGAAAGTTTATAAATGTGATATTTCTGTGTTTACGGCTCAGTGAGAGATGTTTCTGTGGTTCCAGGTGCAGAAGAACCTGCAGAGGCTGCTGGACGAAGCCACCTGAGGGCCAACGGGCTGTATTCTGTAAATACACTAGAAATATGGAGTTTATTAAAGATAAACATGACAAACGGACATGTTTGCTGCCCTACAAAAACAAACCGCTGTAGCTGCTACAGGAATCTGATCAAGGCTCAACTAAGACCTGCTTTTTGCCTTGTTTTGTTTTTTCTTTCAACATTTTTATTATTTTTTTAAATTTTATTTTTATTTTAGAATTCATTCATCAGAAAAGTGTAATTTTTGGAAACAACATGTACATTTGGGAGAAAAAGACCCACTAAATCCCAAACTACTGAGCATTAGCTAAAGGTAAACGCTGTTTTCAACTTATTGTCTATAGTTTAACAACAAATCATATATATATATATATATAT